TTTAGTAATAACTTTAATGTACAATTTTCACCATGCAGTATTAATATCGTTACATGTAACTGTATAAATTATTACATAACTTATATTCATTAATGCGGAAAAACTCGGTTAAAGGTATTGAGAAATAATTTTTTTTCCACAAAGCGTTTATACAAATTAAATCGAACATGACTGTCGGCCGTTCGCGTGTTGTAACAAGCGTTGTACGCGGAACGATATCATCAGCGTTCCCATATATAGATGAATTTTTTTTCCAGAGAGAGGATAACTTTTCCGCAATGTAAATCCCGGCAAATGCGAAATTGCATTTATTCCCAGGGTTGCCGTTAGATGATTTTTTTTCTCATCAGCGACAAAAGCCGTGGGCTACATCGCCGTAGAAACTCAGTTGGATAAAACTTTGAAATTCGACGGCGACATTCATTCGACACAAATTACATTTGTTTCGCTCCAGAGCCGAAATGCAATCAATCAATGCAGAATAGCCAATATATTTACACTATATTACATAAAGAGATTTTGTGTGCATTCCGATACAAAACGTCAAATGGTTTTGGCTGAATAGATTTTTATTCAAGAATAAACAGCGAGAAATATCTAAAATATTCACAAGAATATTAAAAATATTTTTATGAAAATTTGAGGAAAGAATGTTTACGCATAATTGTGCAATCTTTTGCTTACTAATTGTTTGTCATCATATTTGTTTCTTCGAAATAACGTAATTTTCAACTATTTCGAAAGTAGTAACTGTGCATTTTACAATAGGCGGAACCGAAATTGCTGTTTTTTCATCTAGAATTTATGATTCAACGGTGAATTTTCATTCATAACTCAATTCCTGCAAAATATGCCCGTTTTTGTATATTTTAGCAAAAATAAACACCTTCCCTTTATTCCGTAAAATAGTACGCGGATGGTGCCATTGTTTGTCATTTCGTACCAAAAGTAATCACAGAAGTGGCAAATACTAGAGCGTAGAAAATTGCGATTATTGCTCCGTTTGGCGCGGGGTCTGGCAAAATAATGTCGAAAATATCGCCGCTTTTTCCTATCCCGCGGGTCTGTATCCTTCGAGTGCCTCTTGGTAGGACAACGGACGCGGGGGCAATAAAACGTCAGACTTATATATATCGTTTTGCCGATCGTCCATCGATCGAGAAAATATTCGTGCGGTCCTGCGCGCGTGTGCGCTGTAAACGATACAGGAAACTCTACGTGTGCGTAAAATGAAACAATTTTTTTCCCGAACATCGAGTGTCGCGCGAGATATATTCGTCGCGACAAGTTCGATATTTCCGTTCGGATGACTATATACATGTATCGAAACCATGTTCATTCCGTAGTAGATTACGTATGACGTAATATCGTCCGTTTGTTCTTTCGGCCATTGTTTCTCGCACACAGCTCGTTTGTATTTAACAACGATTTAAGAAACAGCGCGATTGCGCAATTAATTTACATGGGAAATTGAAAATTTTCCGCGAATTTAATTGCAGGAATGCGCGGATAATAAAATCTGCGGAAATTCAAGCTCTTTGTACGAATTATGACATATCGATTTTCTATACAGTGAAGGATGATATTATATAACATCGGCAATGCTTTTAAAATTATTGTTTTTCGATGAAAAAGTTTATTGATATTACAAAATGTTTTTCCATCAGAGTTACAACGATTACATAACATGTAAAGAAAAAAAAAGATGTGCCAATGATAAATATTAATATTAAAATTGAGCAGTTAACTGCTCTTAATCGCAAACTGACATTACGAATTGCATTTTGTTATTTTTTTGCAAAGCGCGATATGGACATGATATGGACGTTAAGAGAAAGTAAAGTGTAACAAAGAAACGTGAAAGGATAATTGATGGATCGAGCACCATCGCGTTATTTTTTTGTTCCATCTCCTTTGGTTTTGATATTCCAACGTTATATCCGCCATTACAATTTTTCTGCCTGCGGTAGTCTACTTTCATTTTTCGACATGCATTTTATTTCCTCGGCTATTCAACTGCTTACTAACGTCCCTTTACTTCCCGCTTTCTGTCCCATCCGCTCTGATCCTTATTCCCGCGTTATGCCGCTAAGTTCAATATTTTTTTCTTCCTTTCTCTTTAGGGAAACACTGCTGCTAGATTAAAACAAAAAATTACTGTACGGATATTAAAAAATAATACGTTTCAGAATACTCTTTAGTCTGGCAACTAATCGAGTACCGGCAAAATCCAATTTGTTAACGATTTCATTGAATAGAATTTCCGTTTTTCAGAAAGGCGAGCTTGATATTACAAAAAGTCGTTTTTACCAAGAATAAATCGATCCCAAGTGTGGTCAAAGAAAAATTTGTGGTTAAAAGAATATCCACTGAAACACACCTTCTATAAAGAGTAAACGCATTTGTTCTGCGCTAACGATCAAGAGATCTTTTTGGTTCTAAAATTCCATGCTTTTATCGCTACAATCTTTTCGCCTACTCCTGTTACTCGCTTCCATCTTCTAGCGTGCATTTTATTTCTTTTCTGCCCGCTCGATTCGTCTTCTCTTGCCACAGGGCGAAACGCGATTAAATTGAAAACGGAAATTAATATTTTTAAAGAACAATATAGTACTAAATACGTATGTTTTAAAAAAAAGAGAAACAAGCGAAGGAACGATAACATTTTATTTATTATAAATGGACTTTTATTGAAAATTGTTTCTATAAAGAGAAATAGCATTTTAATGAAAAAAAGAATTTATACAAAATAAAAGAGAAAGAGAAATAGAAGGGAGAGAGGGAAAGTACGAGCATGTTTGCCGAGGACTAACGGTTACCCTATTAAGCAACGAATTAAACCTCGTACACTTTCGAGAGAGACTCGTTTACAGGCAACTTGATTTTTTCACGCTTTGCGCTTTGAGCGCCAGCACGAGTCGGCTGAAAGTTTATTTTAGCCTCGACCATTTACCTCCGCATGCTTGCCCATAGCTTAATAATCTGTGCAAATTTAATGCTAAGCAAATTGAAGCGATGCAATAATTAAGTCGCATTCAAAACGTAGACAGAAGGGCCGTAACGTTAAATCAATATATCGAGCACGCCGTGAATTAAATAAGTTCGTATAAAAGTTTATATATTATGAAAAAAAGCATTTCTTTCTCGATAATTTCGAAGTTTGCAAAATTTTTCCAAGTTTTAATGATTACGTTCGTCTCTGAGCTTTCCCAGGCGAATCGATCGAATGATTTATTAAGATTTTACATCGATGTAGGGAAATTATTTTACAGGTATCTCTCGTGAAACACAAATTCTTCGATTGAGCTATTTTTAATTCTGATTATATTGACGTCGAAAAGCGATACGAATATTGTCATCAGATAAAATTTTATTGGTCCAATCGCGTTTAGCACTTTTTCCGTAGCTTTGTATCACCGGTCATGTCATTAGAAACGGTACGCTATAAAGAAAGGAACCGTCCGGATTGTTGTAATCCGCGTATAATGACGGCGATATCACCGCCGTAGCGTGGAATGATAATGGAACCTCGAAAACCCATTATCTCACTGCACAAGAAGCCATTACTCCGCCGGCTTCCAGCTTCCCGTTGATCTTTTCCGCTGTTTCCCTGTGATAATCGGAGATAACTGGACGGGGCGGCGGCTTAATCATCCATTACGAAAAGACCCGAGAATTTTTTAAACCCACAAAAAGATTTCGCCCATATCCTTCTGTAGACCCTAAATATTCGTTATCACTGCGTCATAATCTAATCGTACAAAATTTTTCCTCAATTCAAAAATGCTTCGCAACACATGATTCCGCCGATTTTATTCCAGCGATGTATGTACAGCAAGACACTTGGTGACGGTCTTGGCAGGCATTTGGCATTTATGCGTTCACTGACTGCGCATATCCGTTCTATATCCGCCTCGCAATTCCTCGCAGCGTGTCTCTCACGTGCAGACAATCGTCATGCCGCACTTCGCGCCGTAACTCCCGGGAAGCCCGCGAGCAATCCGGAAGTGCGATACCGCTCGCGTTTACCGAGATTCGCTATTCGTGTGTGGCACTTGATCTAGCTACAACGCTGTCTCGTTGTCGCCCAGACGGCGAGGACAACTTCGCGGTACGTACGGCACGCTCCGAAAATCGATTTCCGTCCGCGAGACAACGTAAATTAACCTGGCGACGTGGAGACAGAGACGGAGGGATGGGGGGGGGGCGCAGGCGGGGTTTGTTCCTGCGGACGGGCGCGGCGCAGAGGCGATGCTCGAGTAACTCCGGGCCGGTCGGTTGTCTAACGTTGGCCGGACGTGCGGCAACACTCGGAACTTACGCGAGATAACCCGGCGGGTGTGCCAGTACCCAAGGCTCCAAGGCTAACCGGTCATTCTGCACGTACAACAACCGACCCTTATGCTCGCGCCATAACCTCCCCCCCCCCTCCCCCCTCGAAGTGGTGGCGCAGGGAGAGGACGACAATGGTACGATCGTGTCCTACATGTAGTGTAGCGTTAATGCGGCGTTACCCTCAGTTTACGGCGGTTTTCTTGGCCATGCCGGGGTGGATTATCGACCGTGACACGGCATCATTATGTCGGCATTAACGGTACAGAGAGGGGGGCGGGGAGGAGGAAACTCGTAATTTCCGCGAGTTAATCGCTTTCTTCTCTCTCGCGCGAGGAGAGGTCGGGAGGAGAGGGCGGGGAAACGTTAATTGCGTACAGGAAGAAAAACCGCTTGATTGAACTAATAGCAACATTACACTCGCGATTTTTCTCCGGATAATTAAAATCAGCCCTCTGGGGGGATTTTATCGCCGAGAATACCGGGCTGAATTATTGCTCCTTAATGCGAACGCAGATTTGCCAAGCTATATATATATATATACTCGAATCAAATCCGCTGTCAAGTCGCCAGTGCACGCTGCCCCTGCACCGCCGTCCCGCTCGCTCAAACGAATCTGCCAAAAGGGCCATTCGCGCTAAAACGCCGCGTGTCACTTTTTGTTGCAGCGTGCCAGCAGGTCAAGCACGGCGTCCAGGCGGTCTTCGGGCCCTCGGACCCGATTCTGGGCCAACACATTCACAGTATCTGCGACGCCCTCGATATTCCGCATCTCGAGGCCAGGCTGGACCTGGAGACGGAAGCGAGAGAGTTCAGCATTAATCTCTATCCCGCACAAAGTCTGCTCAACGCCGCTTATCGGGACATCATGGAGTTCTTCAATTGGACCAAAGTGGTGATCATCTACGAAGACGACCATGGTGAGTGATCATAAATTTAACGCGCGTTCCGTATTTCGGTAATACCAATATCGATCCGTGCGTTTATAATGATGATAATTAATGATATAATGATAACGCGTCTATTAAACTGGCACAGCTACTTTAACACATTCGAGTGAAACTGAAATTTAGCATATTTAATTTGCTGTTTTTTTTTTTAATTTACTTTTGTTATCTATTCGCTAAAAGTAGTGGCTGTCAACTTAATAGTCGTGGCTTAATATATTGACTACTTCTACACACAAATACAGAACATTGCGTGAGAAAATTGAAAGCGAGACGGCTCAGTCGAATTTTTCAATGCCCATCGGCATGCCGAACATTTGTCAAAAATTCGTTTTACGCGTCCACTAAAACTTCTCAGAACGTTTTAACGTGCGCGCTATTCTAACGCTACATAGGATCGCGCTAATGGCGCTGTGCGTTTTTGGTTATAAATAAATGTAAAACGGCATAGGATTCTCGTTTCTTGCGCGCGAGAACGGGGGAAAGAAGTTACGCGTACTTTTACCAAATTTGCCGAGAGCACATTTTCCTTTTTATCGCGAGTAATATACGGAGAGAAGAATGCATATTCATAACGTCACTGTCGTATTCAACGAAATCGCGACTACTTAACTGATTAAATGGAAATTATATTGTCATCTCTCAAATCTCTTTAAATGTTTCGACGGGTGAATCGTTGTGTTTGTTCTGTAGAAGTCGGAGACAAATTAAAAAAGAAGATTGTCTCTGTTTAAAGAGAGTTTAGACCTATAAGGAGTGCAGAAAGTTTTTACGCAGCCTCTGCTGTTTCTTGCATTACATAAAAGTATTGCAGATAAGCATTACGCGTCGAACGAAATTCGAACGATTGGACGTTCAAAGTCCAGTTCGAAATTTTCCTTGGCATAAAGCCGATTTCGAAGTTCTTTGAAATCCGAACTGAATATGTACGGTCATCTTTTACAAGAGTCCGCGTATACATGGGCAACATGTTAAAGCGATATTTCTCTGGTGTGCTTTCGCGTAAAATTATGCTTTACCTAGTTTGAGAGAAAGAGGAGTAAGAAGTTAGTAGCGATGGATGATTTGAAAGATCTTGGTACAGGGATTGAAGTCGGATTGAAGCTAACGTTGAGCCCGTTTCTCCCTGGAAAAGAACACACACACACACACACACACACACACACTCTCTCTCTCTCTCTCTCTCTCTGGCAAACCAGTTCCATAATTAATTAATTCGCATAATGGATCCATTCGAATAGTTCGAAGACGTTGCAAGCAGTGAATGAGGCATTTATCCTTTAAAGACGTACACGATGGCAGATTAAGATGCTCTTGAGAATTATAAATTCATTTTAATGTCGCCCGTCCAATTTGGGATGTTACCGCGAATATGAAATCAAGGAATTTTCGAGGAGCGTTAATTATCATTATGTTTGATGTCTTTTGTAATAAATTGTATAATTAAGGAAATTTCTCAAAACTGGGGCAAATAATTCTTGGCATTCGTGCATATCTCGCTCTCTTTCCAGGCTGCTCTTCCCATGTTCTGAGATTCTTTCGGATCTTCGAACATAAATTGCTGTCGCGGGATCGATACTTTCAATGCGTTGCCGTATTTCTGCCATGTTATATGCACCGAAAATGCGCCGGCAAAAACGCATTATTTAAAGGGGAACGACTATACGTTCGATGACCACGATGCGTTCGAACTGCAACTCCCGTAATTTACGGGAAATAACAGGCGAGTGATTAGTGGTCAGCGATCCTCCGGATAACGATGATTACGGTTGAATTAGGGACGGTATCACGGCGACGCGTGAAGAATCGCACGTCATGAACGTGCGTTTCGCGACGCTGGAATATTTCCATGACTGATTATCGCGGTACGTGGGTCGTCACCGCGGTTTGCTACTGTGATACGTGACCTTCTGTAAGATCGTCGCCAAAATCCACCGTCTGCGGACATTTGTCGTGTCGCAAGAGGCATTTTAGGTTTCATCTCCGTAGGCAGTTTTTTTTTTGTAAATCGCTTGTAATTTTACCGCTTGTGACAAATCGTTGCGATTATTAAGACATCCGGTCGTCAAGTACAAGAAATGGCGCGTACAGAATCAATTGTCAATATAAATTATTATCTTTACTTTTAACACACAAAAAAATATTACAAAAAATAATTTTTTGTAATATTTAATGAATCGAAATAATTGATCAAATAATCCATACGCATTGATGATTGTGAAATCACATTAATTAATACAATAATTAATAGAAATTAAATAAAGTACAATTTTTAGAGTTGTACTTTATTAATGAGATTAGAATTTTACGGCATGATCACGATTTGCAATGCCAACAGCAGCCTAGTGAGTATCGCGAAACGATATTGGCGTAAAATGGAGAGAGAGAGAGAGAGAGAGAGAGAGAGAGAGAGAGAGAGGGAGAGAGATAAGCGATAAAGAGATAAAGAGAGAAAGCTATATCAATTTGTTAAATCATTTTGCCATAAATTCAACTATACATAACATAATTATTAAGCCTTTAGAGGAAAATTAGTGTGCTATGATCCACCGATATTGAATAACGTCAACAGACATGTGAAACTGATAACAAAATCAATTGGACGCGTTACGCGTGGCTCGAATATCTGTAATGGCATCTGATTACGGGACGATTAAAAGCGATGTTATCGCTGCAGTCGAGTGAAACATGTTATGCGCGTGGTAAAAGTGAAATGAAACGGCGCCGTCGATAGACACCCGACGCGCGTTCACCGATGGAGCGGTAACATCTTAAGTTTTTCTATCCAACTTTGCTCTGCCGCGTCGATAATTTCATTTCCGCGTCTTTCTCTCTACGGGATTTTCTCGGAATTTAACCACCTTTGATGAAAACATCTCCCGAGCTTAACCGCCTTCCACAACGAGCTTAGCTATTTGTGAGGGAAGTACACGTACAAGCCGATTAGAACGCCCCTGACCCCCTATAGCCGCCGGTTCCCCGCGCTATCTCGTCCAACCACCCCCCCCTCCCCCTCGCGCATCCCCGCTTCCTGGCAGAGCCGACGTTGAATTCCTCGAGAGATTTACCGGGACTCCGGGTTCTCCGTGTTTCCTACACTTTCAATTCCGGCGTGCTATGTACCCGCGAAGTGTAAGGGATCCGGGTCGGCGAAATCGTACACGTCTCGAGCATGTTTGCCGTTACGAGCCGAGCCCGCGATTCGTTCAGCGGAATTTCGTCTTATCTGCGGGATCGAACATCGTCGCGACGACACGTCGCGACGTGACACGTCGTTCGGGTGGCTCGATGTCGATCTTACGGCTTTGCCAGCCCAAAAAGCTCTCGAGTCAACTATCCCTCCTATATATATATTATATCGTTGCAAAATCGCCAAATTGCGGATTAGCCGTAAGTCTATGCGCTATATTTTCGTATCATGTGACTAGAAGAAGATTAAAGGATCTCGGAAGTTCGAAGAGTCATTCGTCCTCTTGAATTTAAATCACTTAGCCACGTTGGTGAGTCATAGATGTTGGGCAGTTTGCGAAATTGACTCATTCAATTGACGAGCTAGTGCCGCCGCGTGTTCCACGCGGCTGTCTTGGGAGCCAGACAGCGTGGCATTAGATCTCTTTCAACTTTCAAGTAGTTTAGAGAGCCGCTGGCATCGATTCGCGATTACTTTACTCGTTTTCCGTCTCGTGGAGTTACCGCGACGACGCGGAAACTTCCCCGAGCCAATGGCAACTCTCCGCTATCCACTTTGCGCGTTTCTCGAATCGCTGCATCCTATCTAATCAAGCGACGGATGCGTTTCCTTTGCTTTTCGCCCTGTAATTTAGCTCGCGTGCGAATTCAAGGTACACCAATTACGCGCGTAATTAAACCAAAGAAAAAAAAAATTACGAAACGCGTTTAATTTAATTCTACTTCGTAGTATTGTATACGAATCGATGATTCGAATGCTCTCTTTCTCACTCTCCTCTTCTATGCCGATAGATTATTGGTGCCTGAAGAATTCCGTAATCGTTATTCCCTGTATGCCTTTAGACCGCCGCGGAATGTCAATTCAGATCTTTCTCAAAAAGTTCAAACATCTTCGCCTCGTCTGCAATTTCAAACGAAAATGGAATTCCGAATAGAAGACGTACAGAGAATACCATAATATTTCGACGTATAAGGAAGTTTCCCTAATATCCTTAGGCATTTTGTTTCGAGAAATGAGCATAAGAATGTTATTAGTTAGGTACTTTAATATGCAGTTAAAGTTTGGAGCGTTCTTGAAATGGAAATTAAAAATCAACATGGGCATGAAAGTGAGTATATTATATATACTCACACCAAACTTCAACTACATTAAAGTAATTGATTAAGTACAAAGTAAAAAAATTAAAAAATTAAACCGTAAAATAAAAGAATTATAAAGTTATACATATATATAAATAATTATTACTTTATATTCATTTTTTATTTTACGATTTATCTTTTGAATTTTTTAAAAATATTTACTTATTTTTAATTAGTTTCTTTTCTATAATTTTATTATTTTAGATATACATATTTATTTGTATAAGTTTGTTGAATTTGAGTTGATTTTTAATTTCCATACCAAGAACGCTCCAAACTTCAATTATAAAACTTTAACATTTAATATTTAATTGCTTTACTTGACACGTGTCTAAAGTATTGACACGAACATTGTCGTTTATCCGACCGCGAGGGCGGCATTTATCTTCAAGTCTAATTGAGTTTCGCTCCCATTCACGCGAGGAAGATATCACGCATTAACACAGAACGAGCAAAATCAAGCCACCGCATTAGAAACCTCTTCCGCCATACAACAAACGCTCTCCGCATAACTCGCTGGCAGATATAGCGAATAGACTTTACAATGAAGTCCTGTGTCCGTGGCGCAGTGTAACATCAACGCCAAGTTCCGCGCGTATACACATGCAGATACCCGCCGATGTTAATGGCGCGCCAGAGAAATC